ATAACTATCTGGACATTATAAAGATTTTGCATGTGAAATTTGAAAATTTTCAGATCCATGAAAATATTTTTAATCTTAAAATCAATATTACTTTGCATGATAGATAGGCAACATGCCAAAAGAAAAAAAGACATGAGAAAAACATTGCTTTATAAACCTTATGACTTAATAAAAAAAAAATGTATGCTTTTCGTATGAAAGAATTGTAATGCTTTCAGATAATCTGTCATATTTCGTTAACAATCACTTATTAATTTAAAAGTCATGGCATGAAAACTATAACAAGCACAAAATGGTTACGAAGTTGGTTTCAAGGACTGAGCCTGTGCTGAAAGAGTTAAAACAAGTCAAACATATCTACAAATGTTTGTTACACTGTTGATTATCACAGTTGTATCAAGATCTTTAAATAATTGTCTGTTTTTCCATCAAAGTCCACACAGGCTGGTTCAGTTTCTTTAAAACACAATTTGACAAGACAAATTATTCTCTCTGCTCGTATTACAATACAGTCTGTGATAATTTCACTTTAATATCATGACCATAACTGTTGGTTATCACAGTTGTATCCAGAGCTTTAAATAATTGTCTGTTTTTCCATCAAAGTCCACACAGGCTGATTCAATTATGTTAAAACACAATTGACAAGACAACTTATTTCTTCTCTACTCTGTTATTACATTACAATCTGTGATAATTTCACTTAAAAAATCATCACTATATGCTCTTTATGGCTAAACTCTAAATCATGCAGATCTATCAATCTCTATAAAACTACATTTTTGGATGCATATTTATAGCCCAACGAGGCCTAGAACATTCTAAACACTACGAGATTTTATGATGCAATAATACTCTATTAAAACAATGTGTAAAACTTAGAATATTCTAGTAACGTGATGCAATAACACAACATATAATTCGTAAACAGTGATGTAAATGAACTTGCAATAATCTGTTGCTTTTAAAAGTAACTAAATTTAAACAGTCATGCTTTACTTAAACAGAAACAGTTGTGTATGTGTTACAATTAGAATTTGTACTCTTTTCCTTTCTCTAACAACGTTTTTCTGATGCCAAAATGTGTCATCTGCCTCAAGTTCATGACCACTATTGTCCTGTCTTGTAGAATTCTTTCCTTTCTCAATTCCCTTGCATTAGTATCTTTCTGGCCAGCTTGTGAATTAGCCCTTCACCTTCTATTTCACTTTCTGGTTCCCTATTTTTGCACTTTCATTTTTTTCTCTGTCTTCATGTACTATCTCTCCTAACTCTGCCTTTGACTTGAAGCACTTCATGCTTCAGATAGGCCTCTGTAGAAGTTCCTTCCTTTCTCTGTTTGGCCTGTTCTACTTCATCTGCCCTCCCCTACTTTGTTCCCCTACTATCAGGAGTTGTTGGGTTGAATTTTGCTCATTACTGTATTCTTTCCTTTTTTCTTGTGCACTTATTGTTGGTCTACCTCCATTTCTTTGCTCGTTTGTCTTCAGTGGAATGCCTTTTTCCTGATAACTTGGACTGATGTTGTATGGCTTCTGTCCTCATTATTTTTTTGGGTTTTAATTTTTTCTTGGCTTTGAAATTT